GGGGTGTTTACTGAATACTTTTCTTACTCTCCTTTTAGTGGGGCAAAGAGGAGGAGAATTCTTAAACTCAACAAATACTCATATAGGATAAAGGAACATATATGGGGTTTTGCTTTTTTAAACATAAATCTTATGCTGTCTAGGTTTGTTTTGCTTTGCTTTTTAAGCCTACTTTTTTAAGGAGTATTTCAAGAAATGGTTATTTATTTAACAGGAATATTTGTACCTGTGTGGCAATAAGCCTTACTTGGAATATTTTTCAGCAAACTAGGTACTTACCCCTGCAGGATTTAGGAATCAGTTTTTCCCCTGGGTCATATTTAGAGTTGAGTTTTCAGCAGAAACCTTTGCAGAGCTCTGACAATCCAGAGACTTCATCATAGTTTTTCTTTTTAATATAAATATTTTAACAAAATGTTTTATGTACAAGTTCAAGGCTACTTGGATTTAAACATCTCTTAGCTTTAAGGACATTAGGCTTTCTGGTGCTAAAAAGGTGCTTAAAGAGGTGTCACCATGGTATTATTAGACGTTAAAAATAAGTCTGGTATACCAAGCACTCAGTCACAATGATTATTTGTGTTCATGGGATATTTTCATTGATAATTAATTTGCTGTTATTACACTGTACTTCACAGAAGGCAATATCAGGGCAGGATCACATGCCCACCCAGCAGATGCTAAGCAGTGATATCACAGAAATTACACAAATTCATTGCCTTTAAATTAATAGCAGTTTAATCATTTTATGATGTAGGCTCTTTGTCTTGTTCAGGGCTGATATTTGGATGTCTCATTTGAATTACTTCGAGTTCGAACAAACAACCGTGGGCCCTGGGCTTATATGATAAAGGCCTTTACCGTTTCTTTCTAGAAGCTGTACTCCTAGACCTTGAAACTTTTTCTTAACCTTTTCTAGTGAAGGTGCCACTGAATAGTTCAACATTTTTTAGTCTCCCAGTAGCAACAGAGGGAAATCCTATCTTATTGCCTGATCAGCCAAGCCTTTTTCTTTCATTTAAAAGCAGTTACCAGTAATTTGTAGCTTTT